TATGACTTTGTTAGCTGACTATTGAGTTAAATCAACTATATTAATTAATTATATTTCAGCATCACTAATTAATCAAAATTTTGACCTTGACAATCTAATTAGTTCCGTCAAATTGAAACATTTAATTGAACAATAAATATATGAATTTTTTATTTAAAAAGTCATACAAAAGATTGTGATATGAAAGGAGTTGAGTTTAACTTTGCCCAAACAAAAATAATTTGGTGTTTGTACTGTAATTAAATCTGCTAGGAAAGGGAGAAGGATTTTTGTTTATAGCATAATAATATACTAGATTTGTAGAGAAAATTTATATGAAGAACACAAAGTTTGAAGGTCAAACGGACAGAAATAAGCAGAAGCGTATGATTCGAGGAGGACAAGAACAATTAAGTTGATAACATGGGTGCCTTGCCTATTAGCCAACTGACAATTAATAATAAACAATTTTAATCATAAACTAAAAACAAACAAAAGAAGAAGAAGAAGAAGAATTCTTGATCAAGAGTTAGTTACCACTTAGGAGTATGCAAGCAATCTTCTTACACAAGAGTCATTAATTGCAACAACATTAAAATAGCGTTTGATATGAGGAAAGTGAAAACATATTTCTTATAATGTACTTAATTAAATTACATTAAAGTGTTTATTTTACAACAGACCACTGCAATGTAAGATTACAATACAATCACATTACAGTCAAAAGATGTAATGTGATTGTAATATAAAACCAATACAATTACATTACATTACACTTTGTAATGTTTTTAAAGATATTTTTATTTTTTTATTTTATTTCCTTGTTAAAAATATTTTGAAATGTTATAATTAATATAGGTAAAAGAAATTAAAATAAAATATATAATATAAAAATTATATTAAAGAAATAAAAATAAAATATATAAGATTATAATAAGAAATGAAAATAAAATATATGACATTAAAAATATATTTAAAAGATGATACTAAATAAAAATTAACAATAAAAAATACAAGTATATTAAACTTGTATTTTAATAAATAGAAATAATTTTAAAAATTAATATTACATTATCAGTAAAGCACTTATAAACCAAATACTACATTGTTATCTTTTCTGCATTTTAATCATTATTTTACTTGTATATTAAACACTGTAATGTTATTTTACCTGCAATTATATTGTTTGTCATTACATTACCTGTAATTATATTGTATTGTAAAATACCAAACACCACATAATTTCATGATTATATTCCAAGTGATTAAGGTCTAATCTTTTGTTTTTTGCATATATATAATGTATATATTTTATAATTGAAAAGGAAATTTAAACTCTATTATTTAAGTAAGGGATCATATACTAACTAATGAATCAAATATTCGAATATTTGTTTCTTATATCTATTTCCTCTTTATTTATATATATATACTAAAAAGGAATTTAAAGATGAAAAAGATAAGATTTTACCTTGATTATTTGGAATGAAGCAAGTCTATATATATAGCTAGAAATATTAATGGAACATTTTGAATGTAATTTTTTGAGTATTGAATTTGTTATTAGCCCTATTCAAATTATAATCAATTTATTTACATTCAATTAGATATCTAGGGAAGTGATTTTTGATAAATTAAATGAAGGCTTTTCTCTGTTGTTAATGTTTATGAAAGACATTTGATGATTGTTTATAATTCCAATCTCAACCATTCATGACCAGTCAACTTTGCAGTACTTTGACCCAAAATTAAAGAATAAAAGAAAAAGAATCCGCACTGCCGAAGCCCAAACAAAAACAAGGCCAATTATGTAATTACGTCCCAGAGGCAGTGACCCAGCCTGATCTTTCCAAGGAAAGAAAAAGGTGGACGCCTACCAGCTTTTCTCTGCTTCTGCTTTCAGCTTCCCCAGCTCTGCGCCACCTCTCAGCCTCTACCCAATTCCTCCAAACAAAGAATTACCCAAATTTTAGCTTTCTTATTTTCATTATGGGAGGAAATGGAAAGCACAGGTGGAAAATTTCATTTTACCATCGTCACAATTCTTCTTCATCTCCCAAGCATTCCAAGACCCAAACCCCACCAGAATTCCTCTGCCCAATTTCTGAGTCTCTGATGTTCGACCCCGTTGTAGTCCCCTCTGGTCAATCCTTCGATCGAATCTCCATCCAAGTCTGCCGCGATCTCGGCTTCACCCCGACTCTCCCCGACGGCTCAATCCCCGACTTCTCCACCACCATCCCCAACCTCGCCATCAAAACCACCATCCTCACCTGGTGCCGCGACCACCACACCCAAGACCCGGCTCCACTCGATTACACCTCGGTCGAGAAAATCGTCCGTTCCAAGATTCAAGACCAAAGTCCTTCCACGCTTTTGTCGGCTCCCGATATTCGGGTCTCGGAGCGGGAGCTTTTGAAAGCCGTTGCTGAAAACCCGCCTGTTTTGTTCTCCCACGCGGCCACCGAAATAGGACCACGCGTCAACAACAACTTATACTGCTCCACCTCGTCATCTTCTGATGAATCCGTTATTGTTACCGCCAATAGTCCCCACACACCGTTACCACTTGCCACCCGCCCCGCGTGTTTCTCAACTTCCGGCTCGTCATCTTCGTCCATTGAAATAACCGAATCTGAGATAAACCCTAATTTCCAGTCTTCTTCTTCTTCTTCACCTGAAGAACAAGAGCTGCTTTTACAGCTTAAAAGTTCCGATATTTACGAGCAAGAAAAAGGTGTGATTTCGTTAAGGAAAATAACGAGGACTAAAGAAGAAGCTAGGGTGTCTCTTTGTTCTCCTCGGCTACTATCGACCCTCCGATCTCTAATCATTTCCAGATACAACGTTGTTCAAACCAACGCCATCGCTTCGCTTGTTAATCTTTCCTTGGAGAAGTCGAACAAGGTCTTTATCGTAAGGTCAGGATTTGTTCCTCTTTTGATTGATGTGTTAAAGGCGGGATCTTGTGAGGCGCAAGAGCATGCTGCCGGCGCGCTTTTTAGCTTAGCTTTGGAAGATGAAAATAAGATGGCGATTGGGGTTTTAGGCGCGTTGCAGCCGCTGCTTCACGCGTTGAGATCAGACTCCGAGCGTACTCGGCACGATTCCGCACTCGCTCTTTACCATCTTTCTTTGATTCAGTCAAACCGAGTTAAATTAGTGAAACTCGGCGCGGTTTCGACTCTGTTGTCGATGGTGAAATCGGGGGATTCAGCGAGTCGGGTGCTGCTGGTACTCTGTAATATAGCTGCGAGCACGGAGGGGAAGTCAGCGATGCTGGACGCCAATGCTGTGGCGATATTGGTGGGGATGTTGAGGGAAAGCGAGTTGGTCCCCGAGGCGACTCGGGAGAACTGCGTTGCGGCGTTGTTTGCATTGAGTCATGGCAGCATGAGATTCAAGGGATTAGCAAAAGAAGCGAGAGCCATAGAGGTCTTAAGGGAAGTCGAGGAGAGAGGGAGCCAGAGAGCCAAAGAGAAAGCGAAAAGGATTTTGCAGATGATGAGAGGAAGAGAGGAGGAGGAAGACGAGGAGATTGATTGGGAAGGAGCTTTGGACGCGGGTGGGCTCAGTCGCACTCGGTACCGAGCTGGTAGAGATGTTTTCGGTGCAAATTCTACCAACTTTTAGCAGTTTTTTGTGGGTTATGTGAATGTAATTATTGGTTTTTAATTTGGAGGGAAGTTCATTTCCTTCTCGTGAGAATAGGGTTTTTGTTCATGATTTGGGATGTGAATTTGTACATTCAAATCTCTGGGGTTTTGGGGTTTTAGCGTCTTTAGGTTATGATTGAATTTTTGTATTAAAAATTGTTGATGCAGCATGTTAGTGAAAATCCTTTTGTTGTAAAGGCAAGCCCTGAGTAAACCTGAACAACACATTTTTATGTAGTTTGTTCTTCCTCTAGAGCAATAAATCTTCCCTGCGAACATGGTTGCCAATTTGCTTTGTTGGGTTGGAAGTGGGGACTGTCATGTTTTTTCATGACAATTACTTGTTAGCATGTGCTGAATGGGGTGGGGACTATACTACCACCATTAAAGAAACTTGTCAGATCGGTATGTGTTGCAAGAGTAACAACGCATTATCTCTGAAGAACGTGAAGAAACACACATACAGAACGGGAAACTGTGTATACCATATTTTCCATCCATTGAAGATGATTTATGCATTGTATTTGTGGGGGCAAAATGCAAACTGTGTTCTGGAATTGGTAGCTGCCCTCAAGCATCCAACCGATTCTCCCTAAATTTAATGATATGCTCACTCAAAGCATAAAAACCAAACATCATAAGTATGATGTTGTTGGATACAGGCTGGTTTGCATGATGCTTGCTTCATCCCATAGAAACAGAGTTTATCACCAACAGAATATGGTACCGGTTGGCTCTGTTTCTTAGTCTTTCAGCCTTGTGAACTAGTATGCCAACAACCCAAAACCAGCTTGTCAGGTTCCGGAAAGTGGCGAGCGAGTAGTTTGTGTGAGGGAAGGGAAGGAAATCGATGTTGACTTGTATTAGTAGTAGTCTGCTTTTAGATTTAGCGGTTACACAGACCAGTAACTGACAAAACATCCGTTTCAATGAGAGAAATGCAAGCCATAGTGGCACCGTCATTTCGACAAGTCACTGTTCAATGCTTTCTAATGTCGTGTTTGCTTTAATTAATTCCTATTTTTTTCACAGAAAAAAAAAAAAAGAAAACCCAAAAATGATATGCGTTGGATCTGATAGGATTTCGGGTTTGGGGTTCAATATCTGGCTAAGCCCGAGGGAAAAACAAGCAGAGGCAAAGATGGCATGGCATTCCTTCCCAAGAGAAACAAACAGAGTCTTGGTCACACCATGATTTAGTATAAATGTGACAATGATTTTCATGTCTCTTTTCGTTTGTTGTTATTATTTTGAACTTTTCTCTTTACTCATTTTTACCTTTCTTTATCAGTAGTAATTGATTGCAATCGCAATACATACAAAGGTATCCTAAGCCCAAAACTTTTAATTAAGTCTCATATTGAAGTACATATGTAATTTTTATTATTAAACAGCCCATTGCTACTTCACGTGTACCCTTTGCTTTACTGCCTTTTTTAACCCAATATATTCATGAAAAAAATCAGCACACTGGGGCGAAGGCAAAATGAAAATGCAGAAAAGCCGCAAAAGGAAGCAGCTTGGGGTCGATGGCCACTCCAAAACACCCAAAATAACGACCGAGGAGCCATACCCATCTTACCATAGACCCACCCCTGACGAATGCAGATCCGTAAGAGACGAGCTCTTGGCTCTCCATGGTTTCCCTGCAGAGTTCCTCAAGTACCGCCGTCAGAGGCTCATCAAAACCGAGCCCACCATTGAAGCAAAATCAGAGCCTTTGGATAACAATTATGATGATGGGGAAGAGAGTGTGTTGGATGGTCTGGTGAAAACTGTGCTCTCTCAGAATACTGCTGAGCTCAATTCCCAAAAGGCTTTTGCTTCTCTGAAGTCTGCTTTTCCCACCTGGGAAGATGTAAGCTTTCTCGGCTTTTCTTTCATTTTCTTGTCAGTTCTTTCTATTTTCTCCTCGTTTTGCCTTGATGGATATTGCTATTTGTTGATTAGATTGGTTATTTTTGTTTTCAATTTTTGGCTTCATTGGTTATCAGTTGATAACAAGAATTTCCTTTTCCTTTTTTCTTTAATGTTACCTCTTATATATTTGGCTAATGAATAATTGGTGATTTACCTATGGAACATTTTACAGGTTTTTTATTGCCTTTATGGTATTGTGTTGTTTTAACTTAAAATGCTTCAAAGTTATGTGGGATTGAGGAGTGTTTAGTCTTGAGGGGTGAATTTGAATATTTTTTTAATTGTTTAAGTTACTTTTGATTGTTTCAATTCGGAGTCACATATTCATGAGTTGATATGGGTTATGTGTTGTTAACTTTTGTTTTTATTCAGGTACTTGCTGCAGAGTCGAAAAATCTAGAAAATGCAATAAGATGCGGAGGTCTAGCTCCAAGGAAGGCCTCTTGTATTAAGAATGTGTTGAGGTGTCTGCATGAAAGAAAGGGCAAACTATGCTTTGAGTATTTACGAGATTTGTCAATTGATGAAATCAAGGCTGAGCTCTCCAATTTTAAAGGGGTTGGCCCTAAGACAGTAAGTTTCCATAGATGGGCTTTCAGCAGGAAGGTTTAAGTATTTTGAATCCAGTACTTTTCTTGGAAGGAAGAAAATATAGCACTGCTTACTCCTTCTGAGCATTGAAGGAAATTGGAGAATACTTGCGCTTGGGGTTGTCTTTCCTGCATATGAATGTCTTGTGTATACAAATAATTAAATTTATTGCTTTCTCTTCTATGGCAAGTTTACTCTTGTTGCTTATCTTTTTCAAAGGTCACGTTGGTTGTCATGGCATACTTGTCCTGTGAACATTAAATCAGTCTATTTTCCTTTTCATGCAGCAAGCAAACAAGTATAATGTATTTGTTTGCGTCACCAATCACCTACATCTAGCCTTGAGGACAAATTTAATCTATTCTTGCACATGTGTGTATCTGAGTCAAATTTACACAAAATATGGTATCATTCTTTTTTAAAATAATCATTTTATTGCTATTTTACTTAAGTTTATATGCTCATGTACATGCTATTGATATGAAATTAACAGTGAAATAAATGAAAGGTTAATCCAATAAGAAATCCATGATGTTAGGGCATGTTATTTGTGAATCAGAATGAGAACTGGATCATTATGTAGAATGGTAGCACATATGATACTTAATCAGAAATCTATACATCTTGTATCAAGCTGACCGGGTTTAGGTAGTAAGTTAAAGATACGTAATTCTGGTTTCTTATTTAGACGTAGTAATTTAGCTGTTTAAACCTTCTTAATTGTATGTCCAAAAAATAGAACTCTTCTGGTTTGTCATCCTGTTGTTGAAGTTATGATTCGGCTTTGTTGATTGTTGTTGTGAATTACTTAATAATCTCAGCATTCAGATCCGCAGTTTGATCATATAAAACTCAATACTTGGGACATGGCAGGTGGCTTGTGTTTTGATGTTCAATCTTCAGCAAGATGATTTCCCAGTGGACACACATGTGAGTACCAGATTGCTCCAGTTGCTTTTGCTGTATGAAGCTTATTAGCTCTTAAATATCTATGCAGGTGTTTGAGATTGCAAGGGCCATTGGTTGGGTCCCAGCTACAGCGGACAGGAATAAGACATACCTTCATCTCAACCGAAGGATCCCAAATGAACTTAAGTTTGATCTGAACTGCCTCCTGTATACGCATGGTAAGCTTTGCCGCAAATGCACCATGAAAGGTAGTAGCCAGCAAAAATCGGCACGCAATGATGATTCATGTCCACTATGTACTTACTGCAAGAACTCTAGCATGAACAAAATTCCGTAACCTTTGCACTCCAATTCAGATCCTTATTTGACGTCACTTTGTTTCTCTTTTTTGCTCTTACTTAATTATTTGGTTTTGAGATTTTGGACCGCAGGATTAGAGAGAAAATTTCATGAACAAGTTGCACATAGTGACAGCAAATAAGATGAGTACTAACAATCACTATAAAGGAGACACGATTTGGCCACCAGGACAAATGCAGTGCCTTAGTGCATATGAGTTCTTTCTAAGGCAACAAATGAAATTTGTAGTACTTTGTGAAGGAAACGAAGAGTGGGATGCGAACACAATCCAATAGTTTATACTTGTGCCAAAAGGTTGAAAGAGTATTCCCTAGTAATCAGATTCCGAACTTTAGTTTACCTATAAAGTATTAGTCGCAAATGACAACATTGCTATAAAGTTTCTCTTTTTTGTATAGAAGTTGGTATTTGCACGATTTAAAAAGATATGACAGATCTTCTTTGTTATCCTTTCTTGGTAGATATGCTTGCATCATTATCCACTTTATTATTCCTTTTGTTTCTAAGCAAACTACTGTTGTATTTTCTGTTGCTGGAAGAGTTGTTATAAAATGGTTCCATTAGGAGCCGAAGTCACAGTAGTACAGTGGTCACAATTTGCAGATACTAACCATGTGTATAGAGAAGCACATAGATATTTTTGGGATATAACTGGTTAGGAAGTTAGTGCTGTCCTAGCTAGCATCCTCACCCTCTTTTTGACTTTTCGCATTACTTTAGATCTTTATCAAATATGAATTTTAATATGCTCAAGTTGTTATGCAATTGCATGTTAAAGTATTACTATTCATTAAGACTTTTTATATAAAATAGAAGAGTGGAATCAAAATAGACTGCTATGATGAATACTGAAGGAATATATGTATTAAAACTTTTTATTCTGTGTTTAAATCTGATTTTTTTTTCTTTTTCCTTCCTTATTTTCCATGACTTTGTTTGATACCTTTTCACTGTTCTTATTTGGAAGCTTACATCAACTAATCCAAATCAGATTTCTATAAATTGGAGAAGAAGCATTCTGGGATGTCCTAGACTTTCTATATAATAGAATAAGATATACACATTGCTGCTTCCACCCTTTTCTTGCTTGTAAGGGACGTATTTGATGGTTTCACTGCAAAATTAGATGGGCAAGGAACAGTTGAGGTTGTTTGGGTTTGAGATGAGTTTCCATGACGGTGATGAAAATCAGCCAGGGAGATCTGAAGAAGTGAAAGATTCAGGAAAGTCATTAGAGAACATTTTGTCTAAGGTGGGGAAAACTGTTAAAGAGAAAAGCGTGACTAAGAAACTAGAGAAGAGAAAATATGAATGTCAGTTTTGCCTCAAGAAGTTTACAAACTCACAGGCTCTTGGGGGACACCAAAATGCCCATAAGTCTGAGAGGCTAAAGAAGAGAAGAATGCAGCTTCAGGCAAAGAGCACAAACTTGAGTTTTGCGGATGAACCTCCCCATGATTACTGTGGTGTCACGCAGCATTGTTCTCTTCCATCTTCCGATTCCTGGTCTCCTAGTGTACCCGAGTGTACACTGTTCAAGGAGTTTCTAATTAACTTCAAGACTACTTTTGATCAGGATCAAAGTTTATACTGCAACCTGGCTGACTTCTGTCATTCCATTCCTTTGCCTTCTCATCATAACCATTTAGAGGAAGACACTTGCGGCAGGCACATTGTCATCAAGCCGTCTCCATCTTATATTTCAGAGGATTGTGAGAGTCTGTATACTCGGTTAGGACTTGCTCCACCAGCTATCCACAGCTCCTCCAGAAATGGGACCATGCTAGAGTTGGGAAAATGCAGAGAAGGCTAATTTTCTGTAGTCATATTGAGTTCACCAATTCTCCGGTCTGCAGTCTGGAGTATGAAGGGAATATATATAATAAAATTGTCCATGATCTTGTAAATCTTTCTAGAAATATCTAACTAGTTTTTCGAATGCTTTCTTTCTATTTTTTTGCTTGCCATGTATGCTACTCATCGTTTCAGAAAGCAGACACATTTTCTGAGTGGATTGTTATTGTTTTCAAACAAGTGATTAATTGTCTGCAAGTTCCTTCTCTTCTATTTTATTCAAAAAAAAAAAAGAAATTATGCTGTTTGCAGGGGTGCAAGAAAGCACACCCTTTGCTTGCATCAGTGTCTGATACAAGGTTGAGCCTGGTAGTCTATTTCCTTTGCTGATGTGTGTCGAACAGTATTCAGATAAGCTCAACTTCAAACTTTAGGATGTCCATAATTTTGCTTAAAGCCTCTTTCACAGCTGTTGGCTTGGCTTTATATACTTTTTCTAAGTTATAAGATGGATTTTGAACAACCCAAAAATGTTGCACCAATTCCGTGCAGAAAAAGGATTCCTGATTTTGAGAAGCAAATAATTCAATGCTGTTCACTCTGTTTTGGAATGATTGAAAGAGGAAAAACTTTTGAGTCCATAAATAATTGTTGCTTGAAGAATCCCCCCAACAATCAAGAGATGCATGAATTAAGCAGAACAATGCTTACTATAAAAACCACAAATTCTTGCACTTCTTGATCTTTTTGTAGTCATACAAATCATCATCCCTATCAATAGTTAGTTTGCAACATTATTGAAAAGTCATCCATCCTCACATATATAAATCATTTCATAAAAGAGAAAATAATAATAAAAATACAATACAATCTCTTCCTTTTATGCTCACATCCATGGCCATCACCAATAAAAAAAAAAAAGCTATATTAAAAAACTCTATGTCTGAATAGAGTTAAAAGCATCACATTTGCGCCTCACCTCTCCTTTCCTCCCAGTCTTAATCCCATACCTGCTGAGCTTCTCCATTGCTCGAGCAAAATCATTGAAAAATGCAGTCTGGTTTGTAGCATACAATTGCACAAAAGGCCTCGTCCTGGGGTCTTTTAGTAGCGCATTATCTGATTCCAACAGCCCCAGCCCCCTCAGTAAGTTCTGGTAATACATGTTATCAAACTTTGAGGGAGTCATGGCGTCATTGAAAGCTGACATTGCAGTATCCTTGGTATAATTTTCACACACTTTCTTTAGAGCCGCAGCATACTTTGGATGATAACCAGGGTCAGTTGGGGTATTTTTTTTGTAGTTGTAAAGCCTGTATGCAAACTCTTTGCAGTGAGAGAACCCAATGGTGTGCGCACCATTAAGGGCAACCATCTCTTGAACTGTGAATTTCTTGGATTCAAACAGCCTGATGATTTCATCCACGGTCGTGTTAGCTCTCGGGAGGTTGCCTTCGACGCTGGAGATCTTAGACAGCAGGCTGTCTTTGCGGCCAAGCCTAACGGTGTACAAGGGTCCACCAACCATGTTGATGAAGTTGCGTGTGGCAAGGGCGAGGATGTCAGCGCATGAGACAATGCCAGGGCAAGAGAGCTCGATAGCTGTCTTTGCACGGACGATCACATCAAAAGCATCCCCTGGAAGAGACAGGTTGATGTCTGCGTCACGTTCGGCCTTGTTGAAGGAATTGGAGGAGATAAGGACTGAAGCGTCACAGCCTCCTACCATGCAGTCGTGGAAGAAGAGACGGAGGGTGGCTGCGGCCGTGGTGGGGTTGTTGATCTGCTTGTTGGTGACTGTTTCTCGAATGATGCTTTCCAAGTTAGGGCATGAGTTTTTGTAATAGTCAGTGGAGAGCTTGGATTCTGAGCAAGGGATGGAGAGGAGGAGGAAGAGGGGAATGAGGAAGAGAAAGGAAGGAAAAGCCATGGTGAGGATGGAGACAAAGGCCTTTCCTGCTTTCCTGTTCCTGAGGGGGTTTTTCCCCTATGGAAAGGAAGAAAGACAGAGAGAAAGAAAGAAAGCAAGAGGATGGAAAGGCAAAAACTGTGGGGGACTCTCATGGATGGGAGGGGTTTTAGGAGAAGCAAGTTTCTGTTTTTTCTGTTATTGAGTAGGGCTTTATTTGTCATGAATTTTGTTTGTTCGCTGTCCCCAGTGTTTGCATTGCTTTTGCATGTTAAACTTTTGGCTGATTGGCGTAGCTGTTTGAGCGTGGAGTGCGCAGAACCGGCAGTTCTCCATGGCTAATTTGGCCTTGAATCTTGATCTGTTTCTCAGGATGAAAAACACACACAGGCACAACTGTGTTGACCACACCCACACCCACACCCAGACCCAGAGTCCATAAATAGACCAAACAAAAGATGTGATCATGTGCAGTCAGTCCATCAACAAGATTATTGACGAGAAAAATCATAAAACATATGTTAGCCCCCATGGGATATGAATGTAGTGGAACAAAGGTACACTACTTTTTTTTTTGTTTCCACGGGATATCGAAAATCATTCCAGCTGCGCATTAATGCTTGAATTTGACTCCAGTTTTTACTCCTCCATGTTCACCAGATTAAATCGAAATAACTCAGGTAGAAAAACACCTATGCATGCTCAACTATTGTTTACTGCATGGATGGCTGGTTTACCTTCGTTAAAATCATTAAAATGAGCTGGAACATTTGACCAACATGTGATTGGCTATCCACTTTCCTGCAAAGTTGTGATTGGCCAATTCCTTGTATGCCATGTCAATCTCAATTCTTATTTCCTCATTCAGTTGATGCTACTCTTTGGCTCACTATATCAGCCTCCTCTTCTTCTCCCGGATCTACTCCCACCTCCTACTCTTGACTTTTCCTCTCTCTTAAAACATAAAAATTCAGTTTTTAACTCGTTTTTCTTGTCCAAATTCAAGACAAGACCAGACCATGTTTTTACCTCGCAATTATGGGACTTGGCTTCTCTTGTTCCTCCTCATTTCTCCTACCTTGTTTGCTCCTTCCCTGTCTCACCTTGATTCCCGTTGGGCAGCAAAGAAGAGACACATGAGAGAGAAAGTTAGAGAGATGTAAGCCCATAACTTTTTATCACTTTATATTTTGCTTAAATTCCAGTTTTGATTATTGGATATTTGAATTTTAATGAGCTTGGACTAATGGGTATTGATCAATTTGAAGTTTTTTTTTTGGCTCGGGTAGTTGTTTCTCTTTGATTTTCGTGCCAATGTAGGAGAAGGAAAGGGAATATGTGATGAATGTTTTAATCTCAATCTCTTCACTGTTTAGGACCTAGAAATTTTATGTCTATTCACTTGCTTGAGCTTGATACAGCAAATGACAGGTTTCAGTTAACTTGAGAGTTATGCATCAAGGGAAAGAAAATTTTCTAGTAACCAAAGGAAGATGAAGTTTTGATTGAATTATCAGAGGCTATATCATAATTTGAACTGCAACTCAATCCTGATTCCATTGAGTTTGTCCAAGTATCTGAATTTTGTGCCTTTTGGATTGACATCTATATATTCTTAAACATTTTCTCGGCCAATTTGTTCACTATATACTCCTCTTTGCAGGTTCTATCATGCATATGACAACTACATGACACATGCTTTCCCGGTCAGTTGATGTCCTACCTCCATATATTAAGCCACTATATCTCTTTTGTTGCAATTGGTATTGAATTATGTTTCAATTCTTCACAGCATGACGAGCTGAAGCCACTTAGTAAAAGCTTCACTGACTCTCTTAGCGAGCTAGGAAATTTGAAGGTAATAAATTATTAGTTGAGAATGACAGTATTCAACTCAATGGTGTGATAACAATCTATTCTTCAACTTGCAGCTTGAACACTTACCACAAGACTATAATGGATCTGCCCTTACTCTTATTGAATCGTTGTCCAGGTATAATTGATTATCTAAACAGAAATTTGTATGCGATAAATTAATGACTGCATGTTAGCACCAACTATATATTCATTTTTATACATGTGTGAATTCTGATTAGGACTTAGGACAAGTCCTTGTTCTGATACAAGTTTTCTGCTCTTCCCAGCCTGGTTATCATGGGTAATAACACAGAATTTGAACGGGCAGTTATTTGGCTATCTGAAAATCTGACTTTCAATATTGATGCGAGGATAAATCTTTTTGAGGTATCTAATATGATATCTTTTTATGCAGAGATAGAATTAAATTGGGTTATGTTTGTGATAAGTTTTTCATAATGTAATTGATGATTTTTGAAACTTATTGCTACAGGAGTCTGTAGTTCTATCTCTTAGGAGTAGTAGGTTTCATTCTCAGCTTGAGCAACTTACATGGGGCATTTCTAATTACATCCCTTTTCACTTGATTTCTGTTGTGTAGTGCAACATAAGACTTCTTGGAGGACTTATTTCTGCTCATATTCTTGCAACTGATTCCACAAACAGGTTGGTTCACGGATCTTACAAGGTCCAGCTGCTTAATCTTGCTGAAGATTTGGGGCGGCGCTTTTTACCTGCTTTTGATACACCCACTGGGTTACCATATGCCTGGATTAACTTAAAGGTATTGCCTAAAACATGCTAGTGACAGCTGTATTACATATTGAAGTTCAAAATAGAATATACTTTGTGATGATTAGTGTTGCATGTACGGCCATTTTGTGCTAGTAATAAACTACATGATGTTGGTAAAAATGCGAATGTGCTAAAAACAGTCCAGCAAAACCAATAGAGCAAACAACCTTTAGAAAAGCTAAGACACTTTGATGCTTGGCTGATTTTATCTGGTACTGGCATGTTTGAGACTTCCCTCAGCTCACATGATCTTTTCGATTGGAAGTTTACCTTTTAATTTCTGGGAAGTATGAATATGCTCTGTTGATTTTGTTTGTTAAGAGGATATATGACTCCGCATCAATGCAAAATTCTGTGGACAGTATGGAGTAATGGAAAATGAGACTACGGAAACGAGCACTTCAGGGTGTGGTAAGGCTCTTATTAGAATAATGTAAGATGTGTCTCATAAAGTATGCAATCCTATAATTGTTGATTTTCCATGTCTATTCAGGTTCTCTGATTCTTGAAATGGGAGCATTGTCGCAATTAACTGGTGACCCCAGGTACGAATCTGCAGCTTTACGTGCTCTACGTAAATTATGGAGCATGCGTAGTTCCTTAAATCTACTGGGAACAACACTGGATGTGATAACTGGGGAATGGATTGAATATTCATCTGGCATTGGTGCTGGTACGTGCTATCTGGACTTTGTAGTCATGCAAGATCTTCTATCATGCAGTGCATAAGGTTGCTAGAATATAGTGGCATTCTCGCGTCACATGGGTGGCATTGATTTTCTATTTTAGATTTGAAATGGTTTCCAATTGAATCGTATGATTGAATCATCAACCCTTTTATCTTATTATTATTATTATTATTATTTTTCTGATGATAGATTTTGTGTGGGTTTTCTAAGGGGTTGATTCATTCTATGAGTACCTATGCAAGGCTTATATTCTTTTCGGAAAGGAGGACTACTGGAGAATGTTTCATTCTGCTTATCTTGCAGTACAGAAGTATTTCAGACACGGTTCATGGTACTGCACTAAGGATGTATCTTTAGATTTTGTTATTATGTTGTCTTATGATGAAGTGTATCTAAATCCATTGAGATACATGGTCAATAATACTCTTTCCAGCCTTGCATATTACTGTGAATAAAACTCTTTTCACCTTAATTCCATCAACTTGTCTAAACTTTGGGTCCTGGCCACAAGGTTAAACTGTAAAACAACTTTGATGTCATATTATATATGTACACATTATTTACTTTGGTAATGGCATGCAATAATTGGAAGTTTGGTTGAAATCCTTTAAAGCAAAAGCTTTTAGGAATTTTCCTGACTTAGAGACCAAGGTAGCTAGGCTTTACTCTTTAATTCTATGGTAATGCGTTCTCTTTAATATTTTACTCTTTTCTCAGATCTTATTGACCTTGTTCTATCACATCTTTCTTTTAACTCTTTGATAATTTGAATTTTGGAAAATTTCTAATTTAGGTATCATTTAATGTAAAAGACACATGTCAAGCCTTAAAACAGTATTTTTAAAAAATGCAACTTTTGACATCTGGCTATAGCAATAACTTTACTTGAGAGCTAGTCAAATTAACACTAACTGATTGTGAGCACATTATTGTAATAAAGGTACCATGAAGCTGATATGAGGACAGGAAAAGCAACATATTGGCAGCTTACAAGCCTTCAAGCCTTTTGGCCTGGTTTACAGGCAAGTAACTGAAGCCTCTGACACCAGGTTCCTAGTTTGTTTCCTTGGAAAGGGTCTTCTAATTTAATGTTAGAATTCTTGTATTAGGTTCTTGTGGGGGATATTGGAGCTGCTAATTCATCACACCGTGAGTTTGTTTATGTATGGGAGAAATTTGGAGTTCTACCAGAAAGGTATTGGACTTTTGAAGTTTAAGAGCTTATGGTCTTTTGGTTATGACTGTGGACATGTGGTTGGTTTTTTATAATTTCATTTTTCATCCAAATAATAGTGACCTGAAGTATGGAATCCTTCTAGGTACTTGCTGGACCATCAGATGTTACATCCTACTGAAAAGTATTATCCTCTGCGGCCAGAGTTGGCAGAGTCCACATTTTACCTATATCAAGCAACTAAAGGTGCTAATCTTCTTCACCAGTTGTATTTTCTGTTGTGTCTTTGAAGTTTTTGTTTTCCTTAGTTTTGTATTCACTATCTCATAGGTACTTTTGACTGCTGGTTTTTGTAATGAATTTACTCTTATGTGTGACATTAAAAATCTTTTATGAATACAGACCCTTGGTACATACAAGTTGGTGAATCAATTGTTAACTCTCTTAATTCATACACCAAAGTGGAAGGAGGATTTGCAAGTGTTAGAGATGTGACAACTATGCAGTTGGAAGATCATCAGCATAGCTTCTTTCTTGCTGAAACGTGAGATAATTTTTTGATTCGTATTCCTTTTTTAGGATATACAAATGCATCTCCACAGCCCGACACTGTTTCTTAAGTATTCCATTGCCATTTTCTGTAGGTGCAAGTATTTGTATCTTCTCTTTGATGATTCTTTTTTGGTTGATCGGAATTATATTTTCACAACCGAGGGTCATCCTCTTCCGATATTAAGTTCTTGGCATGAGAGGCTTCCAGAGACATACATTCCTACCAACTGGACATATGCAAAGGTTGTCCTTCTGATTTCTTAATTATTCGTTTATAAAAATACCATAATTTTACCATCCTAAATAGTGATATAAGGAGCAAAAACACCAGACTAAATGTGTATAAGTTTAACGGTGCAGAGTGGACTGCCAACAAGACCAGCGAGTGCAATGTCTCTACAAGTCTGTCCTGCAACAGCTTTGAGGTCAGGATATGGTGTCCAACAGATTGAGAGTGCATGCCACGTCCCTGATTCTCGTGGGGACCATAGGTGTTTCACTGATGAGGAATGTGGAGTTGACTCAACTAATTGTAGAAGAAGGTCATGCAGCATGGCTGGTTACTGTGGGTTGTGGATCTAATGATCACTGAAATACAACCAGGTATTCTTTCTGGCAAGACATAAATTTATGGAAAGATTGCTCTACAAGTAAGTTGGTGGCGAGATAGACTGTTTCCTCAGTTTGTAAACTACCTATGATAGATTGAAACAAGGAAAAGCAGAAGGCATAGAAACACAGGTTATAGAAATTGCAAGATAATGCAGACATGCGATGTCATATAATTCGGAAATGTTCCTTTAGATCTTGGCAATTTAGCCACCCTGTCGTCCTTGAATCCATGATTCGAATTTTGATTGATTGCTTAACAAAGAGAAAGAATCTGATTTCAGTCATGGTTGTGATGAGATTTAGATATAGTGGTGCTGAAACCTTTTATGCAGCAAAATCAGTCACATTGAGAAATTCTTGCTCTTATTTTGATGCTCTTGTGCTCATAGGTCATTGGAATTGAAATATATTTTCGATTATTAAATGAAAAATATCATATAATCATATTAATATGTCATATCATGTCATCGTTTGTTAAGATATGTCTAAGGCATTTTCTTTTATTGAAGTTGTCAACTTCAATTTGCAGTGCAATGCTGTGTGATTAAGCGCAGCTCATCAATCATTCAATCAAATAATTGGCATATATCCAACACCTTCCTCTAGTCAAAATACTAAATGTATTTCCCTTTCCATCCTCCCATGGGGCCCTACCGCAGTCACATGTACGACTGGCTGACAAATATGGGCCACCCTTCAGTAGCCAAGTGGCACGTGGGCAGTCCTTTCCCATTCATGTCCAACCACACATCATGTAATCACTGTCAGTCCAACCCCAAGTTTCCCCTATGGGGAGGGAGCATCCCATCTGCTGCTCGTACCGTACGTGATCAACCAAGAGTTAGAGACACCCAACATGGGTAGACAAATATGTGGTCGAAAAACTGTGTTCGACTTATGATCACGATACTTGATTTTCCCTCCCGTGAGGAAGTCAGCATCATATGTCAATACTCTTATAATTAATTCGGTGTTGGAAGGACATACGTATAAGGCTGCATTGCATTTATGGTAATGGTTATGGTTATTCATATCACCCTCCAACTGGAGTCCCAATAATTTGTTGGTTTCGATAGTAAATAAATGATATGGATAATTTTTCATTACTTGGGTAGAATGTAAATTCCAGAAAAATTGAATGTCTTTGCTGTCCTCAAAGGAATTTAACATTGAGAGCTATACATTACAAAATGACAAAACCATAAATATCTTGAAACATATTAGCTTTGCTAGTAACATTGAGAGCTATAAGCTGTCCATTTTCAATGCATGAAAAACGCCAAGCTATGGACAGACCGACCTGACCTACCCCTCCTTCAAGTTGGCACATAGGGAATGTGGAGTTAGAGTTAGTTGGGGTTGAATAAAAAGTAGACAAAGGAAGATTCGTGGAAGTGGGAAGAGAAAGTACGTACCTTATGATTCTTGCATTAGGACGAATCTCCTTTTTTCAATCCAAATCTTTGGACCCTTTCACCCTATTTGATCTCATATCATGCTCACTCCGCTCCATTTTCTTACTCTAGGGTCTAGGCATCTTTTCCTACCAAGTTGCCACTTCAATTGAACTGTCGAGACACCAAGGAGAAGCACATTGATTTCCATTTGCTATGCTTGGCAGTAGAAGCCTAGAAGGAGAGTGAGCTGATGGTTGATTTCAATGGCGGGTATTAAGTAATCACGAGACAGGGAAAGGCACACCAGCTGCATCAGCAATCAGGACCATTCCCTACTTGAGGGGCATATTCACTTATCAAGCTCCACTTGACCACCCATTAAATCATTTCGACTTCAAATACTTGTAATTTAAATGTTTTTAATCTGAGCTATATCGATTTTTGGTTCAAATTATTCATATATGGATTGATATTAAATGATTGAGATTATTATAACTCTTTTTTTTTTAGATCTACATTCTTTAATGACGTTTAGAGAACTTTTAATTGTCTATATTTCAATTCTCAAATCAAATTAAATGACACTCATAATAGTAATATTTATATATAAGGCAGTGGTTCAGGCGATCGGTTGTCACCGTGCTCATCCTTGCTCTAACCTAGATGCAATTAGAGCAATTAAAGGCTTGTTAAGTAGGTATTGGGAGGTTAGTATAAGTCATATATAGAAGGAAAGGAATAAATTGTCGATTTTATGATTAATTTAAAATTTGAGTTAAATTTTAATATTTTTTATATAATTATCCATCAAAAAAAATGTTTTATCTATTCTTGAATGATATGATGGAAGTCTGTACTCCATATTTCATTAATCAATAAATTTTATTTTTAAAATAAATTTTTTTAAAAGATTTTACAATTATTTGCATAACACCTCGTCATCATGATGTATAATATATTTTTCCAAAACATCTTGCTATCATTCATATGATACCTCGTCATCATGATGTATAATAATACATTGATTAGATGGATTGCACAATCTTCACTCTAACTTCATTATTAGTTAGGAAGGATGATAGTTTGTATGGACCAGAGCAAGTTATGTACACTTGTCATGCAAACAACACGTAATTACCTAAAGTTTATTGTATTAGTGAGTCCAGAAGGATGGTAAAGGAATTGAATATTAACAAAAGTTTATGTTTGATGTATTGTTAGTTTATAGTATTTACATACAATCACTTAATTACAAACATATAAATATTTTTTAATTTTAAATTTATTTATTAACGAAAAAACAGTATTTAATTTATTAATTAATATGAAAAAAGAAATCAAAATGGGTTCAGAAAAATAAGTGGGCCCCGGGATTCCCCGCCCAAACCAAAGCAAATCCAATCTACACTGAGAATGATTCATATAGAAGATTAGTCAAGTTACACGGTTAGATTAGATAGGAACAAACAAAGGAAAATAGCGCGTTGGCCCATGCGGGACCCACGTACTAGTCCTAAAACGCGCTTTGTCGGGCCCCACATGGGGACAAAAATCCCCTCTTACAGAAACACAACCACCTTTGCACGTTAAACTCAAGGGAAAGAGAGGAAAGAGAAAAAAAAGAAGGAAAGATGATGGATAATTTTCACGGCGAAGAAGCATCCCAGACACAGCCAAATTCAGAAAATGGATAGGAAAGTGAGATGGGAAAAAGGGTTTTAAGTGCTGGGGTGCTTTTGTTTTTTCTTTCTTTTCGGTCTTTTGGATTTCACTCATTGATTAGCATTTATTAATGAATGAATAGTATATATACTCTTGCTGGTTTCATTTTTTTATTCAAGTGCTGCATGTTGGGTTCTTTGGCTGTTGTTGTCTTGGTTTTTGTTAATGAACCTCATCGTTTCCCAACATCAAAATCGCTTAGCTTTTGGGGTGTTTTTGTTGTTGGAGTTCATAGTCATAATGTCGCAGAAGAGGCCCCAGGAAGATGGAAAGGTTCGACCATCAGAAGGGAATAGTCCTGATCAAGATAAACGTAGAAGGGTTCCTGCCTTGAGAAAGTACACAACTTTACTTTCTTAGCTGAAAGTTTTCCTTTTTCTTTGTTAATTGATGTTTATAAATCGAAACTAAATAAGTGAGTAAGAAATGAATTGGGTTTTGCTTCTTTGGTGAAATTTATTAGTGAATGTGGTCGGTTGTCCCTTATGATTTATAACAAAAGAAAAAAAAAAACGAATTTGCTTGTTACTGGTTGAATTCAAGGTCTTGGTTAATGTGCTTTGCATGTGTTTAATATGGTTGAAATCCTTAATTTGAAGTGAATAGATGGGTGGATACTTGAATTTGGTTTATTACTTGCTTGGTAAAGTTGTTGTTGTTGTTGAAATATGTCTTGGCAGTTTGTAATGTGATTAAAGTTCTTCTGCTAATGTTGAAACTAATTGAATGTGCGTTGCCCTTATGGACTTCATTTTGTTGCAATTTGTTGTTGTGGACTTCCAGGAGCATTTTTGTTCAATTTGGTTTTAGTTTTTGTCTTCAGAATGATAGGCTAGGATAGTAAAAGATGGTCTAAAGTTGTAATGTCACGTGTATATGCTTTATCAATAGTGTTGGGAAGCCAAGGTGGCAAGGTGATTTTGCTGTCTTACCATGGAGAGTTTAGTTGGCACTAGCTTTTGTTTTATAAAAAGAAATATTTGATATTTTAATTGAGGATGGTAGATATGAGAAATTGTATGCATGGTCATTTTCATGGTCAAAAATAGTGGTTGTGCTCTTGATGTTGGACATGGAGTGAGTTGGCTTAAATATATTTTCGTTGTGTATGTAGTTGAATCTCCTTATGCCTATCTATGTTTTGTGATGATTGTAATTATAATCCATGTAAACTTATGCATCATTTACGGTGTTTCTTTTGGTTGCTAATCTGTTTGTAAACTTTGCTAGTGTGGTTCATGAGGTGATGAAGATGCAATCAATTCAGCATTGGCTTGAGCCAGTTTTGGAGCCGTTGATTCGTAGGGTGGTATGTGCCCTCTTTTGATCATGTTACTTCAGCAATGCTTCTATCTTGTTTTGTTCTTTTTTCAACAAGAACAAGTTTAGAATTTATATTCACATTGTTGAGAGAGTGTTAATGAGCTTGGCTTTCTTCTCAGCACTTTTATCCATTCAAATCTTGTCATACTATTTCTTTTAACAATGAAGTTAGAGCTGTATGTTTATTTTACATCTTAGCATTTTATGAGCTCTTCGATGTTACACCAAAGGTTGTAAACACAGGGGAAGATGCCTCTCTCAAGAATTGAAATCATAAAATTACCATGTCCTGTTTTCTTTCCTTCATGGTGACATTTACTTTTAGCAATTAAGTTTAGCCTAGGTGCTCAGACGAGGGAGTGAGTGTCGGATATGGGTATGTGTCCAACATTGATGCAGGCATTCTTCTTTTTTTTTTTTTTTTGAAGTTCTTATATTTGAAGGGTCTAAACTTCATACCTATAGCCATAGGATATGTGTTGGACATTGGCACTTAAGGAAAAACAGTGAGTCACAGTAACATAGAGTGTAGCTCTAACTGTCTCCTACCACTTTATGGTCCTTGTGCCTGCTCTGGTGGTACTCTCAAATTCTCAATCAGATGATGGCAGTAGATAGTCCCTGTTAAGTTTTTCAGCTTCAGGGTGGCTTTATACGTTTATAGGCTTTAACAACTTTGAAAACTGATTGCAAGAACTTTAAGATTATTGCATATTGTCAATTGCTCTCTTTTATTCTTTTGAGATCCTAACATAAGTCCAGATTTCATCACTTAAATCAAGAATGTGATCTTTAATTTTTAAACTATGATAGATTGAAGATGAAATATCTTTGTTAAGATATCATTTGAAGTATATAATCAGTCATCTGACTTAATTGTAGCCATTAAGACTTGTTGGACCACGTGCTCCTTAACGAGTTACAGCAAAATAGGTTGTAACTTTGGAACATATTTCCTCTACTTAGCTGTCTTTTTCTTGCTTTATTTTGCATGAGTTTTCAGATAAGATACCAAGGATGATAAAACAAAACTGAAGGTGCAAACTAGAATTGTCATAGTAAACAGACATTTGGCCTGTTTAAAATGTTTGAACCCTGATGCTTGAAAGTTTGTCATACAAATGTGTCTTGTATGTTTTTCAGTGCAACAAATTCTTTTGGCATCTTCTGTTTGCCTTTTTATGCAGGTTTTTAATGAATAACTCTTTGGTGCACTGAATGTTATATCAATTCAATCATTTTTGCTTCAATGGCTGGACGTGCTATCAAATAGAGTTGTGCTTTCTTTTGTCCGAAGTTCTTGGTATTTCTTTGTAAATGCCCATGTTATGGTGTCTGGCATCTAGTGTCTTAGTTTGTGAGAAAAATGGAGCAAAAACACATATTCATATCTATTGGTGGCAGGCTCCCATATCTTTTAGCAGTTCTTGTTTCTGCACACTACTTTTTAACAAATAATTGAATGTGTTAGGAAATGGATATAAATCACTGGTCCTATGTTTTGTAGGTCAGAGAGGAAGTTGAGATGGCTCTTCGAAAGCATTTGAACAATATGAAAAGGTAAGAATTCTACTCAGAGAAGGATGAAAAAAGTATGAACTATAAATATTTTCTGCCCAGAAAACTATGTTAACTTCACTGTATACTAAACCACGTGTTTGTCTTGTTTGATTTTAGGAATGGTGGGAAAGAGGTAAACTCTACCGAATCAAGAAGTTTACAACTCCAATTCTTAAACAATCTCTCCCTTCCTGTGTTCACTGGAGCTCGAATCGAGGCAGAAGAATGTTCTGCCATAAAGGTGGCTATAGTTGATGCCCTTACTGGACAAATAGTTACCTCTGGCCCTGAGTCTTCTGCCAAAGTAGAAGTTGTAGTCCTTGAGGGAGATTTTGATGGTGATGAGGGGGACAATTGGACACTTGAAGAGTTTAAGAATAACATTGTAAGAGAGAGAGAAGGAAAGAAACCTCTTCTTACTGGAGATGCATTTCTAACTCTCACAGAGGGCATCGGCTTAGTGAGTGAGATTTCATTTACAGATAATTCAAGCTGGACAAGAAGCCGTCGTTTTAGACTTGGAGCGAGAGTTGTGGATGGCTCTGATGGAACTAGAGTAAGAGAAGCAAAGACAGAATCCTTCGTTGTCAGGGATCATCGTGGTGAATGTAAGTACATAATTATTTAACTATTTTTTATGAGTATGTGGCTAATTATTGTATGGCATACTTCTGCTTGGTTTAAGATCTAAAATGTTTTCAGGCTCAGAATTTGGATGCTTGTCACTTTGAGTAGTGATGGTTACTACAGGATTAAAAGCTTAAAATATAAATTTTGATGTTGCTGTAATTTTACATTTTATGCTTTTGTGACAAGTCCAAAAGAAATGATGTTACCAAGATATTGAACATATTCTATATATTGTTTTCTGTCTAATTTTCTCCACCTTTAATCTCATCTTGACTTGCAAAGAGCAAAATTGGCTTTTAAATTCCAAACACAGGAGAAATGAGGAAGTTGTTATTTGGAATTGTTGAAAGTTTAGATTGCCTCTTTGTTTTTTGGTTTTCTTTATAATTTGTATATGCATTGACTTGTGGGTTTTTATGAGAAATGGATTGATGATACTCCGTTTCAACTCTTGATTTCGGGTTGCAGTGTACAAGAAGCATCATCCTCCATCTCTGTCTGATGAAGTATGGAGATTAGAGAAAATTGGAAAAGATGGGGCTTTCCATAAGCGCTTGAGTCGAGAAAATATTAACACTGTAAAGGATTTCTTGACCATGCTCTTTGTAGACCCTCCAAGGCTCCGACATGTGAGACTCTACTGCTCTATCTCTTACTTTGTACACTGCTTAGAATTTTTAATGAAGGTTCCAGTTTCTTTACCATCTTCTTTGTTCAAATGCCCTCTTTTATTGGCGATAGAACATCAGAAAATTAAAAAGAAGACAACTGATTCAACTGCTTAATTGCCCCCAATGTGTTAGAAGGCTCTCTTTGTTGTTACAAGCTTCAAAATACTCCGGTGTTTAATCAATTTTAAGCCAGTCTGTAAATTTAAGCATCTTTGGGTATCTTTCGAAAAGGATTCGTATTAGCAATGTTATAGGTTTATATCACAAAGAATTCATGTCTGAACAAGGTCCTTAGTTGGACATATACAACATAATCTTGAGTGCCATTTAACCTTCCAGCTTTGCATTTTACTGTCTAGGACCCTATGTCTGCATTCATCTTTAATTTTTACTACACTGACCCCAGGATATTTTTTCATCAGCAATAAGGATGTAATTTGGAAGATTAAAATGTAACCTAGCATTGGTGAGATCCATGCTTTGTCTAAGTCTCACCAGGTTTCATGTGGACTTTTCATCAACAACCACTTTAACTGCTTCAAGTTAGGATTTATGATGTTAGATGTTAATATCAAGCAAAATTTGTCTCTTGGGATGTGTGCAGATCCTTGGCACCGGTATGTCTGCTAAGATGTGGGAAGTCACTGTGGAGCATGCTCGGACATGCGTGCTTGATAAGAGGATGTACTTGTACTGCCCTCCTGGTTCTCAACAGAAATCTGGTGTGGCCTTCAACATTGTGGGACAAGTGACAGGACTACTTTCAGAATGCCAGTATGTTACAATTGATAAGCTGTCAGAAACTGAGAAGGCACACTTCCTTTGTCTCATCTGATTTCTTTGTTTCTTTTTATTTCTTTGTTTCTTTACTTTTGTCATTAATGGCTTCTAATTATCTGCTTTGCCATCAGATTGAAGCTCAAAACTTGGTAATTTCTGCATTTGAGCACTGGGAAGAAGTTATCTCTTTTGATGATGAAGCCTCTCTCATTGGTGAATCTTCAAATTTAGCTAATATTCCTTACACAAGCTCAGCCAAGACACAGATTTCTAATGGTAGCAAGTTTTTATCTTCTCAAAAGATGGGTGGATTTGATTATGCTCAACCAAGTGCTTCGTCACCAGATATCATTTCAACCATCTATTCAGTTGGGGGTATGAGTGGCTTGGACGACTATGCTCTGCATGGTATCGAAAACATGGGTCTTAGATATGACCAAACTTTGAGTTATCCAGGCCAAGTCACTAATTCCCTGATCTGTGACACAGATATTACTCAGACTTTCTGTGATGAGGATCATCTTCGATTTTTTGATAGTGATCTTCAGACCCCGGGCCTTGGTTTGGAATCTCAAGCTGATCTACAAACTGCCGTTGATGGATTCCTTTTGCAACGTACTGTTGCTGTTCAAGCACAGAGGAGATGGACAAAGGTTTTCAGTGTGCTGAAATGGTTCTCTATAAAAAGAAGAGTTAAGGAAAAATTTCGAGGTGTGAGATATAGCAATGGACTGTAATATTTTTTTTTTTACAGGTACAGTTGCAAAGAGTAGTGCTAGCCTAGTACTGCCCTGTTAAATTTTGTATGCAGTTGTAGATTTCAACAATTTGGAAGTATCCCTAGGTGTAGATACAGCTGCTAGTTTATAAATCCTTGTTCTTGTTGGATATCAGAAAATGTACCCCTTTGTATCATATTAACTGTAAATGTATAGCTGCACTTCACAGAGTTAGGCAGATTTTTTGGTGTAAAATTATAGTTGCTTCAGGAGAGTGAAGTGAAATCCGCCATGCATGGAGAGAAATGATATGCATTTGTTTGATTAAAGGGAACCTGCATTCCTATCTATCCTATATGACTTTCGATCACCAGCAGCAGTTTTCAATGGTAGGCTTGGACTAAATGTTGATAAAATTACTTGGCTTATGCTATTACCCGAAGTCAGGTTCATTTCTTGACCACCAAATCCAAATGTCTAAAGAGGAACCAATTTTCCACAACGAGCTGCCATTTTCCACCGTGACTCTCTTTAAAAAGGCCTTATCAAGCATAGCCTTCAAATTTAGCATTCCTTCTATCGTTTTGACTAAGCAAAGCAAAATCTGGGGAAGAAAGAAAATGCAAAACCAGAGAGTCCATGTCTTGGTGGTCACATACCCTGCCCAAGGCCACTTGAATCCCCTCATCCAGTTTGCTAAACGTTTAGCCTCCAAAAAAGTCAAGGCCACAGTAGCAGCCACTCACTACACCATCAACTCCATCCATCCAAACAGTTTTGCCATCGAACCAATCTCTGATGGCTTCGATGAAGGAGGCTTCAAGCAAGCTCCAAGTGTAGAAGCCTACTTGGAGTCCTTCAAAACAGTGGGATCAAGAACTTTGGCAGAGCTGATAGTGAAGTTCAACAACTCAGGGGAACCAGTTAGCTGCGTTGTCTATGATTCATTGCTGTCTTGGGCTTGTGATGTAGCTAAAGAGTTTGGCATCCATGCAGCTATAATGTTGACAAACTCAGCTTCCGTGTGCTCTTTGTATTGGCAATTCAATCAAGGGCGCTTGGCTTTGCCTTTGGACCAAGAAACTTTAGCAGCATCGGTGCCTGGCCTGCCTTCTCTGAGCTTTTCCGACTTGCCAAGTTTTCTTGCTCACCCTACAAGTCACTCTGCTTATTTAGCACTGATCATGGACAAAATCAGAACTCTGGGTAAAAATGATTGGGTCTTCTGTAACTCCTTTGAAGAACTGGAAAGTGAGGTAACTACCCAGATTATCCCTTTTGTTCACAGCCTTTATAGCTAAACGGAACATATTCACTCTAGAAGTAATCAGGCTATAAACAGAGACTACCAGGTGATGATTATCTGAACAAACCGTTCTGACGAGCGATAACTAAGGGAAATAGAAAAAATGATAAAGCTCTAATCTCTAAACCTCAGACATCATGAATTTGTGAGTAACTATTCATGGATTTTCATCAAAATGTCAGGAAATACTATAAATACATGATAGAGTCTGCTTTTAGAAACTTAGATGCCTTCTGCAGATAAGATTCCAATCAGTTTCCATGATGACCAAGCCAGGTTTAGGAGTTTGTTAGTTGTCACATCAAAGTCAAACATTTTGATTCATTTAACCCAGAATGATCCATTTAATTACTATTTCCACAACCACTTGATTTTCGGTTACAAGAATTTTAAGATCATCAAGTTTTTCTCATTTTTGTTCATTGCTTTGCTCTGTGAAAAAGCTAGTCAAGGCTCTGAAGGAACTTTGGCCTGTGATAACGATTGGCCCCTTGGTGCCTTCATTCTACTTAGATCATCAAATTGAAGGAGATACAAGTTACGGGGCTAGCCTGTGGAAGCAAAACAATGACCAGTGCCTGCGATGGCTAGACTCAAAGCCATTGAGATCAGTGGTATATGTATCATTTGGAAGCATGGCAAGCATCTCAACCAGACAATTTGAAGAAATAGCATGGGGCTTAAAAGCAAGCAATATGCCCTTCCTGTGGGTTACAAAGGAGTTTGAAGACAAGCTGCTGCTTGAGTCCATCGACTCAATTGGAGAAAGAGGGCTATTCGTTACATGGTGCAACCAGCTAGATGTGCTGGCTCACCAAGCCGTCGGCTGCTTCGTAACACATTGCGGATGGAACTCAACGTTGGAGGGTTTGAGCCTAGGCGTGCCAATGGTGTGTGTGCCACAGTGGAGTGACCAGCCAACGAATGCTAAGTTTGTAGAAGATGTGTGGATGGTAGGAGTGAGAGCTAAAAAGGATGAAGAAGGGTTTGTGAGGAGGGAAGAACTAGGGAAGTGTTTAAGGGAAGTCATGGATGGAGAAAAAACTCGGGAGATTAAGAGTAGTGCATCAAAGTGGAGGGAGCATGCTAAGACAGCCGTTAGTGTAGGTGGCAGCTCAGATAGGAATATAGATGAGTTCATCCGAAAGCTGCTGACGGGTAAGGAGAAGAAAGCATGAAAGTATCATTTCCATTAATCTATTTTGTTAGGAATAACGTCATTATCAAAATTGGTTGAAGGACAACTTCAACTTACCACTGTCATATAATTGTTATGAAGTTAAGGGAAAAGAGTGCTGAAATATTTTGGATAGCTTCCATTCAAAATGGTTTGATGGATCCTGAGGGATATTTCAACAGCTAGAGCATGAGACACTAATTGTATTTGCATCTTATATGAAACTCATTAATGTAGGTGAAGATTAAACAATTCAAACAAGTAAATATTAACTCAACAGACAGCAAGTCATCTAGAAAGAAGAGATTAGTTTCAATAGCTGTGTACTGTCCTTGCCTTGGACATGGTAATCTAGATCAAGTTCATGAAGCATAAGTCCAACGTAGCAAGAGTAAATCTGCAGGTACTCAGGGAATCAGAAAAGTCCCATCATTTTGGAAAGTAGTATTGTCTAGGCATAAGCCTTAAGGTTTCACAGACCTGAAACTCACTACCAAATACCAGTGGAAATTTGCAGCAATATAGAGTTATTGAATATTGCAATTACATGAACAATATACAGAAGTTTAAACTTTTACATGTGTACTCACTGTGACCATCGCACAAAGGACAACCTCATCTGTTCTTCTTTACAATGATCTTTAATAGAGATAACAATAATGTGCTTTCTGATGTGTAAGAAGTTAAGGGTGTGAGCTCATATAAGGACAAAGTTTAGTAGAAAATGAGGAAAGAGTCACATAAGATAAGACCTTCCATCAGCAATCAGCAATTACTAGGAAACTTCACATCTTGCAAGTGGTGTTGTCATTGCATTCGTCAGCCTGCGAAAAAGGAATAAAAGGCCAATCAAACGGTTAAACGTCAGTGCGAAACATGTTACATACATGATACAATCAGATAATAAAATTCAAACAAGAATCTCTTCTCTCCTCTTAATGTATCTTTTGATTGGTTTGTCCATTTCTTGGTCTTAGAATGGTTAAAGTTTAATTAAAATTTGCGACCTCTCAGAATGGATTGGGAGTTGGAGTTTGATACTTCATTTGACTGGGATTTTTTGAAAATATACAGCAGAATAACGACAAGGAGTTCCTGAAGCCTAAAAATATTAAAGGTTATCCACAGCGTAGCCTGACATTCCTGCCACAGGTATCATCAGCAGCAATAGTGGTTTCACGCTGTGTGGTGGTCAAAGAATGTGCATATATAGGTTTAGCCTTAAAGAAGCCCACTGTTAGATGACCGTGGCATTTTTACTTTCCAAAGGGAGAATATAAGGTCGGAATGCCTAAAAATCTAAAAAGAGTTTATATTGGAAGGCATAACATTCATCAATTCGTATATCTCAATGACATCAGTTTGTCGATATCATGTAAACAAACATACAACAGAAAACTGACTTAACTTTCGTTTTTGATTAGGTGGATGCATGTATGCTACTCAGCTTATCTATTTTGCTTTCAACATTATGAAACCTTTGACACAAGAATAAAAGAAGTTAGAGAGATCCCTGTATGCATACCTTGTTCTTTCTTCGTACCTCCAAGATCTCGTCTAAGGGTGGTCGGCCTGAAACAGGAACAGGAACCCCTTACATATGAGATCCCTGTGAACCTCACAAGCCAGCATTTGATACATTTGACACGAAAATAAAAAAAGCTAGAGAGATATAAGGTGCATTAATCCAATCTCAATGCATTCAATTTAACAGGCAATTGATTGACATGTAGGTTAGGATGATGGTGCAACTCTGTGACCAAGACGTAATATCTTGTTCACTTGAAGCCAAAACCAAGCTGAATTTCAGTTTTCCTTTTCAGTCTGAATGAAACTCAGAAATTACCATACAGAATTCCCAGTTCAGCATATTTTTACCTGTAATTTGAAGACGATATTTAGCCCAAACACCATAGATGGCATCAGCTATTGTTGCAATCTGAAGATGAGACATCATATACTATTAGCCACATGACGTACACACCAAAAAGAAATATCTGTTCTTTATCCTGAAACTACAAGTTCAATGACAGTTGCAAATCAATAGGACTACAGGTGATATAAGAAAGCATAAGCTTACAGGCTCATATTTGGTAATAGCATAAACCCATCCAAGACCAACTTGCTCATACAATTTTCTAAATGCCTGCAAGTCATCAATAGCAGAAATAAAATTTAGATTGTATCCTTCTGTCAACCACCATGCTCCCAAATCCAAAAGCAGAAAGCAGCTGTAACATTACAAGGATAAAAAGTCCAAAAATAAAAGAAGGAAATAAGAGGGAGAAGCCACCAGCTACAATTAAGGATATCTTAACACTATACTCTGCTCAGCTTGTGCTTAACTATAATAACATCTAATTTAGTAATTCAATTAAACCCTCTACTCCAAAGAACAATCCCTCATAAACTTGTATGCTACTTGAACATATTACAACCTGTTTCTACATCCTAAACAGCATTTAGGACTCAAATATCGAAACAAGGCAACTGGTCAGATTAACATCAAAACCCCTTTAATTGATTTTTCTTCTTCTTTGTCTTCATTACTTTTAATCCTTTAGTTTCATTTAAATTACATTCTAAACAAGGTACAACACTAGTGGACATTCTTCTCACCACCACATTCAGCAGATTTGGCAAATACTCACGGTACAATGTTAGAATAACAAATATGGAAAAGTTTGCAATCCAGGATTAGAGTATTGTAAGCCATACCTCAACATCCGTGACCACAGTTCCATCTGAGAGAATGGCATGAATTCTTCCCATGACCTAGACAACAAACAGAAATTTTTCAATTTTTGTACTGGCATACCAATCATTCCCTGTAACTCACACATTAGATGTCAAGCATATTTGAGATTGATTCCAAAGGTGTTTAGTAACCTTGAAAATAAAAAATGCCTACAAAATAACTAACTTCTCATTATCGATTAACAAACATCTACGTCTTGAACATACTGTTTTGTAGTCCAAATTTTTATTCTCTTCAGGAGAATAATCATCAGAACTTATGTCAACAAACTTGATAGTGCCATACTGCTTATTCCTCTCCCTTAGCATGTCGACCTGACAACATGATAAACGGAGAACACAGTGAAAAAACTAATGAAAACACCTAACATATATCATAAGCAAGAAATTATTGATCAAATTCGTATAGTAATCATTTCAGAGAATACCTCACGCATGCAGAGCGGACAATCTCCGTCATAGAGCATTTTAATCTTCCAATTTTGAGGTGATTGTTGTTCATCATCATCATCATCATCTTTTGCTTTCTGGGAAGATACGGTATCTGCGGTTGCTTCCTGTATTGACCGAATCTGATACTTAAATACTGCAAAGAAAATGTGCAAAAGTGATAACAAATCATTCAAATGACTTGAAAACTAACATGCACATACAGAAGAAAAACATGAAAAGGGAATGAAACCACAAAAAAAGAACATGAAATAGTGACCCTGCAAATATAACATGCTACACCAAACTAGAATAGATGAAACAAGCATGAATGAGGAGAAGTGCAAAGGTGAACAAGGCTTACCAGTTTTGTAGTTTGGATAAGATGCGAATCGTTGAAGAGGATGTGAAGGGGAATGATGATGAAATCTTACTCTGAAATTTTGAGGAAGTGAAAGGAGAAAAGGGGTCGTTCGTTGTCTTGCAATGCAGGCACCGGCAACAGCTGCTCCTCTCAACGCCATAATTTGCTATTAGGTGGTATTGGGTTGTCTGAACATCAGTTCGTTCCTTCTTCGTCAACCTTAAAAAAGCCAACTGTTTTAGTTGTACACGTGGCAACCGCGTATTCACCAACATTGAAACACGTGGCCAGAACCCAACATGCCAACGCCAGAACCACCACAAGCCAACAAGTCAAAATAAGAGGGAAAATATCGTAATATGGAAGTTTTAGGGGGTAAAAATGCAAAAACGTGGAATGAAATTATTTTAAGGGGAGGAAGGTTAAGTTTAAGCCTAATTGTCGTGCTACTTCGTCCGATATATCCGAGCAGCTACTCTTTTTGTTCTTCAATCTGATCTGTGAAATATCAAAGAAATGGCCTTTTTCCTTCAAAAAAGTAGCCTTGCTAATCATTTCCGATCTTCTTATCAGGTTTGAATATTCATACATTTTGTTTATGCATAATAATTTCATTCTGATCTTTTTGGGCTCTTTGCTTGATTTGTTAATAGCTCTATCTAACTCTTCGAAATTCGTTTACTGAGTAAAGCAGAAGACAGAGGGTTCCCTGGCTGCTCCAACTCGAGCACTTCACGTGGAACCGGGGGCTCGTGAAAGAGCTGTGAGTCTCCCCTTTTATGTATTTTTCCCGGTTCAATTTTCTTCATAAAAATCTGACCTTTTTGTTTCTTTTTGGTTTTACTCATTTAATTTTGTATTGATTGGACAAAAAAGGTTGCATTTCTAGCATCTGGGTCAGCTCAAATTGGTCTTAATTTTTAAGCGAGGTTTTTGGACTTAATAGGTTGAATTTTATCCTTTTTGAATTGAGCCCATAGTAATAGATGAAATGAATAGTAGAAAGATTCTTCTTTTAAAAGATTCATGGAGTTCGTTTGTTTCAACTCTCCTTGTCCCGGGTTTTCAATTTTTTTATGATGTTTTTATGTGTAGCCCCTGAGACATTACATTGGCGAGAGAAATTGATTTGTAATTCTTGATAAATATTTAGAATAATCTACTCCTTTAGATAGTTTCCTTTATTTCTTCCAGCATGGTGAGGGTGTATCAGAGGTGACTAGTGATATTTTATATCCTTAGATGTTATACTCTTTTGCTATACTTGACACTATGTTGATAACGAATATGCCCTGCAGCTCTTGGCAGAGGATCCTTCTCTAAAGCGATTTAAATCTTATAAGAAGAGTGTGTGGCGACTGAAGAGAATCGCGGATGTTCTTACAGTTGTTGTTGTAGCAGGTAACGCTAGTGTTTGCTATAAGTTGAATGAATTGGTTCATGAGTATCATTCTGCGTTTATAACTCCATAAGAAGATGGGTTTGGTTCTCTATGATCCTGTTTGAGATGCTTTCTAGATATGCTCCAAGTATGTCTCTAATATTTGCAATGGTTTGCATTGCTTTTGGATAAATTCGGACATTACACTTTATTGTGTTACTCACTGGAAATCTTCTTTCTTTGTTGTTTCAGTTTTCCCTTTTCCCTTCTCTCTTGAGAGGAAAAAATGCTTGAAATAAAAAAAAAATCTACAAAATCATTGAAAAGCTTAACTTTGAAAGTATACAACCTATGCGGTGATGTGTCTTCACCTTGTCAATAGCTAGATATCAAGAATTCTTTGTGTTAATACACTTGGGATGGTCAGCACTGTTCTGAAAGGACATTCAGCTTCACCAATGCTGGTAGCTGCTCGCTCTTCCTCCTCCTCCCCCTCCCCTTTCTTTAATGGGGAATGTCAGAAAGCATGTTGAATCAATCTTATTTAATTTGATTTATCAGATAGCTTTGCAATATGTAGAGCTCATTGTACTGGCCCTGCATAAGATCAGAAGGAAATATGATGATTGCTAAATTACAGAGATTTGGGGGCTTGATACGACTTTATGAATGAGTTATGTGTCATTGTGTATAATATGATGAATATATTCAACTTCATTTTTTGGCATTTTATCATTGAACATTGATACTTGAGTTCTGCTCTTACCTTTTGTTTATATATTCTTTCTTTTTTTTTTCAATTAACTCCCACCCACCCGGCTACCAAAATAAAAAAGGAAGAACATTATGCTCCTAAACTGGCTGCTTTGTCCTTCTATGTCTGCAATGTGTGAGAAAATAAAAACGAAACTGATGGATTGCTGCTTAAGTAAGCCTAACATACAAGCATGTCTTGAATAAACTTCTTGTATGATGGTATTATGTTTGTTTGTTTCAGGTTGTTGCTATGAAATTTATGTCAAGGCAGTAATGCGAGAAGAAGCTCGGAACCAGGCAAAGGCTGCCGGTGGAAGTGAATGAGGCTGTGCATGTTTTTGCTTCTGTGCCAAAAGGAAAAAGTGCATGTCTTAGTGGTTGATTTGTTAGTTTGGCAGCAATCTTAATCCCTTAATGATTGTGCCTCATTGATAAATAAGCAAAACAAAATGTGCTGTTGTGACATTCTTGAATGTAAGATTCACTAAGCTAATTTCAATCAGGTTATCATCTTTCATAAAATCTTTCAAATGCAATTTTTTATATCGGTTCCGATAATTGTAGAAAATTGCCTTACTTTAGGGGTTCTGGGTATGCACTTTGACATAAAGGAAACAACCTCAACTGTACTGCTGGGTGCTAGTTGGAGAGGTCAAACCCCGAAATCTGATTGCATTCTACGTTAGCTAATGCTTTATCGTGCTTATTTTTGATATATTACTGGAACTGGGTCTTAGGCAAGATGTAAGTCTGTAGATGTTTTCATGTGCATTCATGTGACTTAAAATGCTGGAGCAAGAATGCAGGTATACCTGTCACACTTTCACATATTAGTCACAGCATGTTGATTGTATAGGATCATGATCTGTCGAAGATAAGAGAACTGAAGCAAGTATTTGTTACTTTTTTGTTTCCTTGTAAGATTGAATGCGTGTCACTGTCAGACAACATCAAGAAGATATAAAAAAAAAAAAACTACCCAAAAAGAAGCAGGTTTTATCAATTTAAATTCTGGTAATTATATTTGAGCTATAACATGGTGTTTGGTAGGTTGCTACTTGCTTTCACTTATCAGAGATGGCTTGAAATTGAATGATTCATCATGCAAGAATAGACTTAAAGTGGCTGATTTCTCATAACTGGAGTTGTTCAATAGAGTTGCTTAAATATTACATGTACAATGTCATCATTTGGATTTTGCTTAGACATGGAAACCCAGATATCAATCTTATTGGATTGCATGGACTTGCACTTATCATTGCTGAATCTCCTTTAGTTTTGCCATCAGAAAAACATTTCACAAGCTGGTAGCATGGTACTACCTTAAGCAATCTTCAAAGTTATTGTGCTTCAATGGTTTAGTCATTTTTTATCATTTTTCAATAGAGTTGCCAGACTGTGAAAGAAATTCAAAATAAGCAAAAAAAAAAAAAAAAGGTAGGGCAACATTGGCAGCATTTTTCCCTCACTCCCACATGAGAATAAATTAAGAAAATAGAAAATGGTTAGGTACAGCTGCATTTGTGTTTCTTTTTGGCATGGTGTAAAGAAAAAAAATGGGAGAGATGCCTATCAACAAGGACTTTTCAAAGGGCAACGTGAAACCTGGAAAGCAGACAATGAATCTCTTCAACTTTAGTTGTGGCCTCCAAAAAGAGAGAAAAGGAAATAGATTGGGCATTTGGGTGCCCACAGAAAGTGAGAAGGGAGGATTTCTATTTCAAAGCTGGAGTTCATAAATCAATGGAAGATGGGACTGAAAATGTCATTTAGACTAGAGAAAAAGGCTTTCTTTTAAGCTTTTTGATTGTTTCTCTGAGTTTCCAATTTCAGAAATGAGAATATTAATGAAGTAGAGGGAATGTGTCATTATCAATACCCAGCTAAATCTTCTAAAATTAACAGCAAACAATTTGCTTTGGTTTTCACCCATTTTTCTAACATTGAGGCAGCAGGAAGAAATGATCAAATTCAATCAATTCCTAATTGAGAAACAAAGCATTCACAGGTGTAGATGCACCAAGCTGCTAAAACCAAATCAAATAAAATTGATTGCTAACCTTGTTTTGGTCCAGAAAATGATAGTCAAGATTAGACAAATTAATTGGTTGATTCTATCATTAAACTGGTTGAAACTTATATTTCATTTATGAATTTAAACTTCTTTAATTAAAGGAAATACTCAAATCTAAAATCCCAAAATTTTCTTCAAATAAAAAAACCCATCAAGTTCACCAACTTCTGGTCCAATTGGGTGGTGATGATATCACAAGGGAACAAGTTAAATTGGGGAGGAAAGGAAAAGGAAAAGGACAGAAAAAGGATAAAAAAAAAATGCAGAAGAAAATGAAGTGCCTTTTTATTATTATTATTATTATTAAATTAAAAAAATAATTGGGTTTGAGTTGTTGGATAGTGCATGCACTCTTATCTGTCAGCTTCATGTAATATAATGACAAAAAACTGTTTTGGCAAATGGAATCATCCTTCACGTTATGACCCACCTGACACACCCCCTCAAATCTTAACAAACCTCCCGCCTATTTACTGATCTGAGGCAAGTAGTCTTACCCTTCATTCAATCCCCGTTTTCTCACTTGCTCCATCACCACGTCCATTACACGTCCTTTACCTGAGGATAATTCTCCAACCACGCGCTCTTCCAGAGAGTGGTACAAAGATTTCCAAAGAGCGAAAGAACCGCGCTTATGTCCGAATCTGGAACCGGGATTTAACTGGTTTGGTCTGTAGAAGGTAGAAATAAATTCAGTGATTCCCTGTTTGCAACAAACATGCGACACCTGTTCGAAATGAGGACATTACTGTAAGTTCACTGACGAAAAATGACTATTTTAGCGTCAAAATGTGGACGGCTAGCGCTTGCTATTGCCCATTGCTCCAAAAGTCTACGCCAAGACCAACTTCAATTATCTGTGAGCTGTAATCGCAGACACAAGAGAAATTGAAAAAAAAGTGAGACAGAGAGAGTACTTGTCTGGAAACCAAAAAAAAAAAAAAACAGTCTTCTTCTCCTCCTTGCTCTTATCTGCAGAGTTAACATCAACCCAAGTTACT